GTGTGGTTCCACGTGGCGCAGTCTCCAAACTTTCTTCTGCAGTTCCTTCAGAGCCTGTGAACTATCCCATACTCTTAATAAATTCCTTGACTTCCCTGTTTTGTTTTAGAAATAGGGTCTCACAGTGTTGCCCAGGCTGGTTTTGAAATCTTGGACTCAAGTGATCCTCACACCTCAATCTCCTGTGTAGCTAGGACTACAGTCATGCACTAATGGGCCTGGCCAAATTCCTTTACTTTCTTAAACTAGAATCACTTTCTATAAGTTGCAATTAAATACTGATTGATAAAGTGCATAACTAGGACATTGTTCGATCTCATTTTCTAATGCAACTGACAGTAAAGTTTTAAATATACAAACTTACATAATTGGAAGATGCTTTAGTCATTTTTACTATAATAAAATACCTGAATATGGGATGCTTTATAAAGAGGAGCATATTGAGCTCACAGTTCTGGAGGTTCAAGGGCATGGTGCAGTATCAGCTTGGATCTGGCAGACCTCATCGCTGATGGCAGCATGGCAGCAGGAGCACATTCAAAAGGAAGAGATTATGTTGGCCAGAAAAAAAGCCAAAGAGCAACTGGAGTCCCACATCCAAAGGCATGTCCCCAGCTGATCTAAGGACCTCCTTCTAGGTCCTTCCTCCTAAAGGTCACATACCACCACCTTGGGACCAAGTTTTCAACACACAAATTCTTGAGGGACAAACTCGAACCATAGTTATGTTTAGTCCTATTTGTTACCTTATTATTATTTTGGTACTGGGGATTGAACCCAGGGGTACTCAACCACTGAGCTATGTCTTCACCCCCTTTTTTTTGTTTTGTTTTGTTTTGTTTTAAAGAGAGTGAGAGAGGAGAGAGAGAGAGAGACAGAGAATTTTTAATATTTATTTTTTAGTTCTCGGTGGACACAACATCTTTGTTGGTATGTGGTGCTGAGGATCGAACCCGGGTCGCATGCATGCCAGGCAAGCACGCTATCGCTTGAGCCACATCCCCAGCCCATCTTCACCCCTTTTTATTATTTAGAGACAAAGTCTCGCTAAATTGCTGAGGCTGACTTTGAACTCGTGGTCCTCCTGCTTTAGCCTCCTGAGCCTCTGGGATTACAGGCCTACACCACCATGCCCAGCATCTGTTACCTTATTTTGGATGCTCTGTTTAGTTCTGTCATTGTTACTAAGACTGTATACGTGAAAAAGACTAAAAAGAAAAAAAAAAACCTAATAAATTAAGTGCCTTTATACATTGGTATTATGGGTGATTATTAGTTCCTTCTTTTTAAAAAAGAAAGTTTGGGGTATACAGAACCCAGAGCCACTCTACCATTCCTTGCATCTCCAGCCACCACCCCCCCACACACCTTTTTTTAGACTGAATCTCACTAAGTTACCCAGGTTGGCCTCAAACTTGTGATCCTCTTGCCTCAGCCTCCCAAGTTGCTGCGATGACAGAAGTGTGCTGCCATGCCTGGCTTATTAGTTCCTTCTTAATATATTCCTAAATTCTCTTAAAACTTCCACAATGAAATATTATTGTATTTAAAAAAAAAACTCTTTGGAAGAATATTCTCTACTAATGACAGAGTAATTTTAAAAATATAAGAATAATTTTTAAAAATATTTCAAATCAATTTACAAAAACGCTAAACAGTAATTAGAATAAAATTTACACTTTAACCATATAAATAAAGAAAAAGAAAATTACTACATACACGTATAAAATATAAATGAATTTTATTTATGAATGTATAAATGTATACCAAAGGGGGAAGTACATTAAAAGAACATGTACCATAATCAGGTAGAGTTTATTTCAGGAATTTAAGGGTGTTTTAAAATTATGAAAACTTTTTATATAGTCAATCATTTTAGGGATTTAAGTGATAAAAATAGGATTATATTAAAAGATACCAATTCATCTTATCAAGCTTTTAGCTTCAAACAAAGAAGAAAAGATGTTATTCCTCTTATTCTAATAAAGAACATTCATTTAAAACCCACAATCAACTTTATATTTAATGAAGAAATACCAAAGAAACTTTTTAATACATTTTGTTTGTACTTAACACAAAATAATAAAAATACATAAAAAATCATTTTGCAGCTATAGTTTTATTTTTAGAAAAAAAAAAAAGCATTCTACCACTACTGGAACAAAAACAATTCAGCAAAAGATAAATATTTTTAAAATTAACAGCCTTCTAAAGATAAAGATTTCCATGCTGAGTAGGAACACAGATATAAAATACTCAAGAAAGAAGTAACATAATAAGACCTAGACAAAAATAAGAACAAAGTATAACAAAACAACATCAAGAAACACATTAATAACAGACAGACTAAATCCTTGATGGAAAGAATTAGCATCATAAACAAAAGTGTTACAGAGTGATAAAAAATTCAAATTGAAGAACTGAAAGAGATGTTTACTTTACTTATCCCCCCATTGGGGGAGCTGTATTTTTGAATATTAAAGAATGTAAGTGGGGATAAGAAGACCAATGAAGATATATACTGATTCAAACAGATTCCAATACAGCATTTAATTCATTGTATGATTAAAAAAAAAAAAAAAAAAAACAGGTCTTAACTTCCAGATGGAAGTTAGAATTAACAAGAATGATTCTCCTCAAAGCCAGGGACTAAAAACACAAAGCACCGTGATATAATGTGGTAAGTACTAGGGTAGCGCTACAGGAAGCGGGCACAGAGGCTCACACCTGTGATCCTAGCTACGCCAGAGGCTGAGGCAGGAGGATCACCAGTTCAAAGCTGGCTGGGGCAGAGAGACTCAGCTTCAAAATGAAAAACAAAAAGGGCTGGGAATGCAGCTCAGTGGCAGAGCGCCCCTGTGTTCAATCCCCAGTACTGCAAAAAAGAAAAAAAATTCTACAAGTGTTTCCTCTCTAGGGACCAGGAAACGCTAACATTTTGAAGATTGTAACTGCCAGGTTCTGAGGCAGGCAGAGGGAAGAAGGACCGGCACTTGTAAAAGAGGGAACATCTTTTACAAATACAGAGTCACAAGACAACAAAAGAGTACATTTCAAAAACTCCAAGTGAGGGTCAGCAGAAACACTCTTAGTCTACATTTCTAAAACTCAATTAGAAGCCAATATTTAAAAATCAGAAAATTTCTCACACACACAAAAAAAATTTGGATTTCTGGCTTCTTTAGAAAAGCAGACTATATGACAAACTGGGTCCACATTCCCAGATGGAAATCAGGGCCGTGCACATTGCAGTTAGGAGAGTTTGCCACAGGATTTCCTCTGTGCCCCCTTTCCCTGCAGAGAGTCCACTCGATCTATTTAACTCACCTTCCTGGTCCCTGTAGGGGGGGAGTTTATGACTTGCCTTACGTGAAAACAAAGCAACAGGGTTAGATTTGCTTTTAAAAGATTAACCCGACAGCTAGGTGCAGAAGAGAGGGACAGGGGGGAGATGGATGGAATCCACAAAGGTCTATTATATTAAAAATTAAAATAAAGCTACCAGAACTGAAGTGGGGGAAGGTGCCCACCTAGCACCTTCTACTAAAAACTCGCACCACATATAACTTGAAAAACACTGAGTTATGTCCCTGTGGGATACATAAGATGGGTGATAAAGGTGTGAGCCAAGGAATTGTGTAGGGGTGGGAAGAAAGGGGAGATAAAGGTGTGAGCCAAGGAATTGTGTAGGGGTGGGAAGAAAGGGGCAGAGAAGGATGAGCCTTTGAGAGGCTCCTGAGGGGCCAAACATCTCCAGCGCCGGGTGACCAATGTGACACAGGGAATAAAGACAAAGAAGAGTACAGGGCTTAAGTCCAATGACTGAATGGGGATAAGCATCCAAAAATAAGGAAATAAAAGGAGAAACAACCCTGGAGGAAAATGAATTCATTCAAGTTGTGGTATGTTGAGCGTGGAGAGCCTCATGTGAGATGTGAGGCTTCACCTCATGAACCCCAATAAATTAACCAAGAAAACCTATCTCCAGCTCTGACATGCGAAGTCTCAGAGCTGGACCATCAGACGGAAATAAAAGAAAGATTAAGAGGTGTGATCATGAAGCTGAGCTTAAGGATGTTTTCGTCCATTATCGAAGGTTTATAATAAGTAACTAATTGAAACCTGTTTTCACCAGGAGTTTGGCAATCACCAAGAGAGACTAGCGGCAGCTACCCACCTCGAGCCTGTCCTTTGTGTAATATGTAACTCATCAGTGACAAGAATAGTCTGAAGAAATAATGATCTTTGCTTTTGAAATTTGCAGAACTGAAAAACATCTCATGACCAGGCAATGAGGATCAGATGTGCCTCATTTGGCCCACCCACTTGGTGAGACAGGACCCACCAATCAGGGAACACCCATCATCCGGCTACATAAGCCACCCCCAAGTCAGCTTCCCAGGAAGATGAGCTTTGGGACAGAGTCCCTGTCTTCTCATCTAGCCAGCTTTTTTAATAGTCAGACTCTTTGCCTCCATATCTTGTCTCTTGACTTTATTGGTATGTAGTGGGATAAGCAGTCGGACTTGGTCCAGTAAATTACATAAGATAATTTTATAGAATGATTATCAGCAGAACCAAAATTGAAATGGAAGATGACAGAACTGAATAAAACATTGCAACAAAGATTACAGAAGGCCTTTACTTTTGTAAGATCACAATTATAAGATATATAAAAAGAACACAATGATGTGAAAGTCCACCAAGTCTCTCAGGGTAAAGCATACACCTTTAGACCCTCATTCTCTCCATTAAGGGTGTAAGATGGCTTAGACAAAAGTAAACATGGTAAAAGGATAAACTGGAGATAGTCATAATGATTAAATGTAAAATAATGATTTTACATTTAATCATTATGTAAAATAAATGTAAAATAAAATTTAAGTTAGCACCAGGGCTGGGGTGTAGCTCAGTTGTAAAGTGCTTGCTTAGCAAGCACAAGGCCCTGGGCTAGATTCCCAGCACCACCAAAAAAAAAAAAAAAAAAAAAAAATAGCACCAGGAAAAATCAGAACTAGGAAAAAAATAATAAAGAAAGAAAAAACAAAATATGCAGAACATCAGGCTTTTCAGAAATACTGTTGTTGACAACAACAGTAAAAAAAACTATCATAAGTTATATGAATCATATTGCCCTTTTAGGAGAAAACACAGAAATTTATCACTTGAAAACATTTTTGCATTCCCCCAACTCAATAGAAGAGCATTTCAGTTTTTCTCAAAATGAAAACATAAGTTTTCTCAAAATTAAATAAATTTAGTTTTATAAAAGCTACTATATTGTCCCTTTTTCTCACATTGTGTTATTGCAAAAAAAAAAATTAAGAAAGTACTTTACACAAGGACATTTGGAAATATGACTAAAATACACACAGCAAAGGATTCATACACCTGCCTCTGTGGTACCCCTTGATAAAAACAAAGAACGTGACATCTACACTAACTTGATAAAGACAGCAGGATACACAGGAGAAGACAGAAGAGGGAACGGGGAGGAAGAGGGAAGTCCACATGAAATGGGTGAAGCAGGTAGATTTTTCTTGGTCCATCTGCATCCACAGAAAGAAGAGTTACAGAGTAATGGATGAACTACCCATCCTTCAAACTATAGCAGCTGGGCTTAGCAAAAGCTCAATAAAAGATAAAAAATAGACAGGCTGAGGTAGAAATTTTTGACAGGAACCCAAAGGTTACATAGTCTGTGGTGCAGGCCAAGGATGGATGCACAAAACTTGGACACAGTATGGATGACATTCTTTTATGAAATCACGGAGCTCCATGTCGGCCCAGAGGGCCCAGCAATAAAAGGCCACATATACAGTACACAAAAGAGAACCCACACAAGGCAGTTAATACTATTCACTCACATACATTTAGAGAAATGCAAACCAAAACACATTATCATTTAGCACCTGTAAGCTAAGCAAAAGTAAAGCATGGCTTTACAAATTCAATACTGTGTATATTTTATAGAAAGATAAATTCAAAATTTGTTAAGAGTTGAAATATCCCAGAATAAGGGAGGTAGATGAACTATGATATATTAATGTATCTGTGCAAAAAAAAGATTATGTGTGATCAATGTGAACAAAATGGAATGATACTTATGAAATGCCTAAGCAGAAAACCGTGCAAAGCGTATGGATCTATGTAAACTGATTACATGGACAAAATCATTGGTCAGACCACAGAAGTCAGCAGAAATTTACCACTTGAAGAGCTCCATCTGCCCAGGCTGGGGAAGATGCTCAGGAACTGCAGAAGCTGCATCTTCAGGATTTGCCCTGGACTGAACCCTCTGCGCTCAAATTTTACCTTCTCTTTGCCTGCTTCATGTCCAACCTCATCCCCAGCCACCCATGCCAAATTTTATCCTCCCACCTTTAGCTCTCACAATAAGCTGTGAGGTAGCTATTGATGACCATTATTAAGAAATGACTAAAAGAACAAATGGTTACAAACTGAAGCTCAGCAGAAGACTTGCTTTCAGGTCTTCCAAGATGAACAAGCTTCTTGCTTCACTGGTGCCCTTCACGGTTTACCTGGGCAGGGCTTCCTGGCTGACTGAGTAGGGAGGGGGACCAGAGGCCTGCCTTCTCCAGCCCTGGCCTCCTGTGTTCTCTGTTTTTCAAGGCCCTGTGAACACTCAGTAGCTGAGTTATCTAGAAGAAAGAAGAAAGGAATAAGCTTTCCAAAAATATTCTTTGTATTACTCTTTAAGTTTCATTTTATATTGGTAACCAGGTCTCAGACAAGACTCCTAATTCACTCCCAGGGTTTGGAGAGTTTGTGCCTTCTGAATTAAAACAGGTAATTGTTATATTAAAAATATAACAACAGCAAGCAGAAAGTCAGTATTCCATAGTGAGAAGAGTCCCCGTAAAAATGACCAGATGACAATAATAATAGGCACTACATCAGAAACAGGGTAGAAGGTCCCTTCTCTCCCTGAGAGTTCCCTAGACAGCCTGTGACACTGGTATTTCGGAGTCCCCCTTACTTTCAAATTCATAAAGTCTGCCACTAACATTCCGACATAAGAAAACTTCAGGATGTCTCAAAACTTAATTTTTGTTTTTGTTTTCACAAAAGAGCTGGGGAAGTTTCTCAGTGGTAGAGTACTTGTCTGGCATGATATTCAATCCCTAGTACTGGGGGAAAAAAAAGAAAGAAAGAAAGAAAACTGCACATTAAAAGCTTAGTACTGGTGGCTGGGTGGGGTGTGGCTCAGTGGTAAAGCACTTGCCTCCCACATGTGAGGCACTCCCACAATCCTCAGCACCACATAAAAGTAAATAAAGACACTGCATCCACGTACAACTAAAAAATATTTAAAAATAATATAAAAGCTTAGTACCTCTGACTTTGGCAATTAATTAATTACCTTTTCTCATCAACAATTCTAAACCCACCACTAACTGATTTTCAGCTATAAGCAAATTTAATAAAATAAATAAGCAAAACACATTATAGTTAAAAGAACATTTACACAGTAACAGGACTGAATGGCCTACAATGAAGTGTAACAATTATTACCGTTTAGAGTGAGGGAAATCACATGCAATTTTTATTTCTAGTTTGTGCTCCAAGTTTTTCTACAATGTGATTAAAATTGCTAAAAAATGAAAAAAAGCAGACCCTTTAAACCAATTCATAAAAGAAAGCCATCCCTATGTTATCCTCATCTTTCTCCCTCCCCATCTCCCAGCAAGTTGTTAAGACTGCTCCTGCCCCCAACTGGCCCAGGAGCTACTCTGTTCAAATACTATAAACTCAAAAGTCTTCTGAAACCCTTCAATATTGTCACTTGTCCACTGTCCTAAACTTTCTAACAACAAAGCTTCAATTAACATATGAAGTGGTTTGGTCCTCAGACTCACTTTCAAGTCACTGTTCTTGTTTCTTTACTGTGAAGATTTTGAAACCACCTCACCATTGACGGTTCTTGTCTGCCTCTGCTAGGCCTACCTTTGTTTTCAAGCATCTTGTGCAGCTCCATATGCTTGTAGGCAGAAATGATCTGAAAATTAACGACACTTGGAATACTCAGTCCTTGCTCCTGAAGCAACTTCAGGGCTGTAGCATGAATGAGCTGATGGGACCGTTTGCAGGTCTGCAGCTTGCACTCTCCCCTGACGAAGGCTTTGCACACGTGGAACTTGGTGCATTTATCCTTGAGGTTGCAGTAACCATACAGGGGATCCCCACCTTTGTTGTACAGCAAACAGACCTGGTACAGAAAGAAGGCAATACCTGAATATTAGTTCTCACCATATCTTTATTTACTTTGCAGTACTGGGGACGGAACCCAGGAGCACTTCATCACTGAACTACATTCCTTGCCCTTTTTTTTTTTTTTTTTTTAAAGAGAGAGAGAGAGAGAGAGAGAGAGAGAGAGAATTTTTAATATTTGTTTTTAGTTCTTGGCGGACACAACATCTTTGTTGGTATGTGGTGCTGAGGATCGAACCCGGTCCGCACGCATGCCAGGCGCCCTTTTTTTATTTTTTTTTTTTACTTTATTTTTTTAGTTGTAGTTGGACATACTACCTTTATTTTATTTATTTATATTTATGTGGTGCTGAGGATCAAACCCAGGGCCTCGTACTTGCTAGGCAAGCACTCTATACTGAGCCACAAGTCCAGCCCCCCATCCTTTTTATTTTATTTCAGGATGGGGTTTTGCTAAATTGCCCATGCTGGCCTTGAAATTGTGATCCTCCTGCCTTAGCCTGCTGAGGTGCTGGGATACAGGTATGTGCTACCACAACCTGGTATTGTATCTTTTTCAGCCAATAAACAACAGTTCCTCCTACAAAACTGGAGATTAAATGGTATCTTTTTTAAATTAATATTTTAATTGACACACAGTAATTGTACATATTACTATGTACCCTGTATTGGGGTGCAGTGTGGCATTTCAATACATGTATACAATGTGTATTATACTATGTATAAAGATCAGATGAAGGTAGTTGCCATGTCTGTCACTCAAACATATGTTTTTTCTTTTTACTGGAAACATTCAAATTCAATTAGATATTTTGAAATATTCAATTAATTGTTGTCAACCATTGTTATCCTACAGTGCCATAGAACATTAGTAGGTCACTCTTGCACCCCTGGCCCCATCAACCATCCTCTCTCCACCTTTCCCTCCTTCACACTGTTCCTTCCCAGGTTCTGGTAACCACTATTGTATTCTCCACTTCTTTTTTTTTTTAATATGTATATTTTTAGTTGTTGATGGACCTTTATTTTATTCATTTATTTTTAAGCGGTGCTGAGAATCAAACCCAGTGCCTCACACATGTCAGAAAAGTGCTCTATCACTGAGCCACAAACCCAGCCTCTATTCCCCACTTCTTTGAGATCAACTTTAGTTTCCACTTGTAAGTAAGAACATGTAGTATTTGTCTTTCTGCATCTGACTGACTTAACATAATGTCCTCCAGTTCTAACCATGTTGCTGCAAATGACAGTTCATTCTTTTTAGGACTGAATAATATTCCTGTGTGTGTGTGTATCTTTATCTATTCATCCATCAATGGACACCTAGGTTGTTTCCATATCTTGGCTATTGAAATCAGTGCATAGCAAACATGTCATGCAGATGGCTCTTCAATATACTAATTTCAATGCCTCAATATATGGTAGTTAGATATTGTTTCTTCCTTGCTTGCTTGAGGAACCTCTGTACTGTTTTCCGTAATGGTACATTAATCTATATTCCCACCTACAGTGTATTCCCCTTTTTCTGCATCCTCATCAGCATTTATTTTTTTATTTATTTTTAACAATAGCTATTCTAACCAGGGTGTGATATGGTGCTTTTGATTCGAAGTTCCCTGATGTAAATAGCATCTTCTGATTGTCAGCAGCTGTTAAGATCTTTGGTGAAGGGCTGAGGGATATCAGTGGAGCCCCGCCCTGGCCTCCCGCAGACAGTGTGCGTACTGGCTCTCTTACCCCCTCTCTTACTTTGGACCCTCAACTGACCTGCTCTCCCCCAAACCCTGTAGCCAATGAAGGACTTACATGGAGGTACAAAAGCCTGGCCCCTTGCCCCCAGGCTAGAACAATTCTTCAGTGCAATTTTTATCCATGCTCCCACGATCAAGTCAGGGCCAGACTTCCCAGTGCTTGTAGCCTTTTTCCCTCTATATCCTGCTTCCCTTCCTCCCCACTGGTTTTTCCTAAAGAGCCCTCCCTCAATAAATCACAAGACCCGTATCCCCACTTCAGGTCTACTTCAATGAAACCCATCTCGACAGGTTGCACTACCATATGAGAGTCAGGCAGAGAGTGGGGGAGCACTGTTAATGATTACTTGGGGACAGCTAACGTGAACTGGTCTGCTCCAGGCAAACCAAGGACATACTCTCGGGGAGCTTTATAACAATGGATCAGGCTATCAGCTCTGAAATGACCAATCAGACTTCACCTCACACACACAAAAAGATGGCAAGATGTTATATGATCCTCCATGTGATACAACAAGAAATACCATTATGAAAGTAAGTCTGACATTCCAAGACACCCCTCCACTCCCAGGCAAACTGGAATGTTAAGTTACCCTAATAATGCACCACCTATAAAAATATTCTTGCTATAAAAAACAAATCAAACCCAAATCCCATCAAACCTCCAGTTCTATTAGTTTACCATATATTCAAGAAATAGAGGAGCATGTTAAATGGTACAACAGGAACACTACCAATCAAGCTAAAACATGGGTAATTTTACAGGACATACATAACCTGCTTTAAAACAAAAGAGCATCCCAATCTACAATTGTGGTGCCAATTTTCTAAAATGAACTTATAATTTTAATGCAATTTTGACCCTCCTACAGTCAAAGAGTTCCTAGAAAATAGTTTTAGGGGGCTGAGGATGTGGCTCAAGCGGTAGCACGCTCACCTGGCATACGCAGGGCGCTGGGTTTGATCCTCAGAACTACATAAAAAAAATAAAGATGTTGTGTCCACCAAAAACTAAAAAATAAATATTAAAAAATTCTCTCTCTCTCTCTCTCTCTCTCTCTCTCTCTCTAAAAAAAGAAAATAGTTTTAGGAATTTAACTGATTCTAAACTTTATCAGAAAAAGGAAACAAGAATTGATTAAACAGGGGCTGGAGATAAGGCTCAAGTAGTAGCACACTGGCCTGGCATGCGTGAGGCACTGGGTTCGATCCTCAGAACCACATAAAAATAAAATAAAGATATTGTTAAAAAAAAGAATTGATTAAACAAACAAAAAACTGAGAAAGAAGAGTAATGGGTATAGAGACTTGGATTATCATATATTATAAACTATTTTAAATAGTAGGATGCTGGTTCAATAATGGACAGAAGATCAAGGAAAACAGACCCCATACCTAGTCCAAATATTAGAACAATCTGTTCCTTAAAGATGTGTTGGAACTTGGGGGGAAAATGGGGAGATGCAGGTAAAGGGGACTGAAGTTTCAGTTAGGATGAATCCATTCTGGAGCCCTAAGGTACAGCATGGTGTCCAGAGTTCAAAATAACATACTCTATGCTTATAAACTACTAAAAGAGTAGATCTTAAAAATCCTCATCACTGGGCTGGAGTTGTGGCTCAGTGATAGAACTCTTGTCTGGCATGTGTGAGGCCCTGGGTTCAATCCTCAGCACCACATATAAATAAATAAATAAATAAATAAATAAATAAATAAATAAAATTTCAAAAAACCTGCTTTAAAAAAAATCCTCATCACTCATAATTTTAAAAAAGATGACTTTACGAAGTGATGATATGTTAATTAGCAGGATTATGTTAATTATGTCACATGTAAGCATATGTCAAAATATCTCATTGTATGCCATAAATACATAATTTTTATTTTTCAATTATGCTTAAGATGCAAAAAAAAACTGATAGAAATCAATGATAAAGTTATGTAAGCCTGATGTTTTCTTATAGAAAACTTATACTTCAGGGTTTGTTTAGTGCTTTTATTTTTTAAAAAAATATAAGGCTCTTTTGGCTTTCCATTTCTTCTTGAATCAATTTTGGTTTGCCCTATGTCTCTAGAAATGTGTCCATTTCATCTAAATTTTCAAATGAGCTAGCATGATATTTCACATACTATCCCCCACTGTCTTTTTTCTTGTGTGCTGTGTCTGGATCCTGCGCTGTACCTTAGGAGAGCAGTGAAAGGAATCAACCAGGCACCTTCATACAAAAGACAGGAGGCATCATTCTCACTTCATCCCCTGTGCTTGTCTGTGGCCCCTGATGTCTAAGTGGCCACACACACCTCTAGGTCCAACTTTGGGCCAAGGGCAGCCTCCCACTATAAGGGCTAAAAGAACACTGAAGCAGTCTAATAGGACAAGATGAGGCTGGGCCCAGGTCATCTAGGAAGAGCCACTGTTATGATTTCCATCTGAGGTAACCCCAGAAGCCCATGTGTGAGACAATGCAAGAAAGTTTAGAGGTGAAATGAATGGGTTGTGAGAGTCTAAACCTAATCAGATTATTAATCCCCTGCTAGGGATTAACTGGATGCCCACTGTAGGCAGGTAGGATGTGGCTGGAGGAGGTGGGTCCTTGGTGGCATGCCTATGGGGTCTATATTTTGTCCTTGTTGGGCAAAGTGAAGCTCTCTGTTTCCTGATCTGCCTGTCCTAAGCCACTTTCCTCCATACAGTCTTCTGCCATGATACTCTGCCTGACCCCAAGCCCCCAAGGAATGGAGATGGCCTTCTATGGATTGAGACCTCTGAACTGTGAGTCCCAAAATAAACTTCTACATTTGTTCTTGTCAGGTCTTTTAGTAACACCAACAAAAAAAGCTAACATAGCCATAAAGAAAAAGATTCAATGAGCTTAACAATATAAAACCATTAAACTTCTCTCTCTCTTCCCCCTCTCCTCTTCTGCTCTCCTCTCCTCTCTCTCTCTCCCTCTCACCCTCTCTTCCCCCTCTCCTCTCTTTTCTCTCTCTCTCTCT